GAGCAAGTAACAAAACAACCCATCATGGTACAAGAGGAGTCAGCAAAGTCAAGAGATGGGAACTGCAGACTATTTGGCATTCCTTTAGTCAATAACATGAATGGGACTGATTCAACAATGTCTCAGAGAAACAACTTGAATGACGCTGCAGGGCTTACACAGATCGCATCTCCAAAGGTGCAGGATTTATCTGATCAGTCGAAAGGAGCAAAATCGACGAACGATCATCGTGAACAGGGAAGACCATTCCAAACCAATCATCCCCATCCGAAGGACGCTCATACGAAAACAAACTCAAGTAGGAGTTGCACTAAGGTGAATTTTTTTGCTATTCTTCCTTGCAAATATTAGTATGAGCGTGTGCAAACCATTGAAGCAATTTTTTACCAAACACGGTGATTTTTTTTTAAAAAAGGTTCACAAGCAGGGGATTGCACTTGGGCGGTCAGTGGATCTATCGAAATTCAATAACTACGAGGAGTTAATTGCGGAGCTGGATAGGCTGTTTGAGTTCAACGGAGAGCTGATGGCTCCTAAGAAAGATTGGTTGATTGTTTACACAGATGATGAGAATGATATGATGCTTGTTGGAGACGATCCCTGGCAGTAAGATATTTGCAGTTTTCAATCTTCTCCACCTCAATGGATAATCGGTGTTAGTATCTGTTTTTAACATTTGATACGATGATTCATTCACAGGGAGTTTTGTTGCATGGTTCGTAAAATCTACATATACACGAAAGAGGAAGTGAGGAAGATGAATCCAGGGGCTCTAAGCTGTAGGAGCGAGGAAGAAGCAATCGTTGGGGAAGGATCAGATGCAAAAGACGCCAAGTCTGCATCGAATCCTTCATTGTCCAGCGCGGGGAACTCTTAATCAAAGAAAACCAACATCGTTTTGCTACAAGCCGAGCGAGGTATGTAAAAGCTTCCGAAATAATAGCAGAGACATAGCCAAGTTTGTATCACTACATTATGAGTGATGTTTGGTCTTTATTGTAAACGCAGGGAAAGATAGGTAATATCAGAAGGAGGCTGGATTGGTGGAGAATGGAGAGCAGAATGGAATTATGGTTTTTTGTTTAAAAGATATGGTATTAGAAAAAAAATGCAATTTTTGAAGTATTTTGTTGGCCGCCACTTAGATAATTAGCATCTTCCACCACCC